TTATTTTTTTTTTATATTAATGTGACAAGGTGTGACGGGTTTGAAGACTGTAACACATTTGAAGGGATGCATTGCCTTCAATTTTATTTCTTTCTTTTTTTCTTTTTTTATTTATTGATTTATATTTCATATTGTTCCCTGCTCTCTGGGTCAACAAATCTGCATGGCCAACATTGTCTTTCTCCTGCAAATGTGGGTGCAATTTCTGATGTATGAAACTTTCCAGCAAAATGTAAGTGGACATATTACATCAAAAATTATATTTATAACAAAAATATTAGTTGTCATGATTTTAATTGAATTAAAATTATTAATAAATACAAAGTAAAATAAATAAAAAGTAGATACTCAACCCTGTCGCAAGTTTACATCCCCGTAACAGTGAGAATATATATATATATATATATGTATTTGTGACAGGATTGAGTGTGACAGGGTTGTGGTTTTTTACTCAAAATGGCGACTGCTCCTCGTGTAGTGTAGGAGAGAAGACCATATATGGCAGCAATAAAATGAGTACATTGTATATTCTTATTGATTAAAATTAAATGTTGAAAAATAATCATTTGACATTTTAATTTTATGTGACGGACTTGAATTTTTAAGCTTGACATTACCCTCCCTGACTATAATACATCTCAACAATATGATTAAAAAGTATGATACTACCGACCATTTTCTGCAGCCCTATTAAAGAGACCTGAATTATGTAATTTCTGGTAAATTATGTCACATATGGGTGAAGTCTAAATTATTATGGGCATACAATTGTTAGTGTGACGGGGTTGAGATCAGACTGAGGGACATAACTTTAAATTCTGTTTTTTTTTTTTTTATAAAAGATCTTGCTTTTTGTTTTCAGAAAAATATTTTTCACAAGAAAGGAACACAAATAAATGCTTACATAATTGCTAAATATCATAGAGTAGGCACTATGCACAAACTCATTCAAGTGCCTCAGGCACATGACAAAATGCTTGGTTTAAGATAGATATAAGATATTATTTTATGCAAAAAAATATTAAAATGCAATAATTATAAAGTATAAAGTATTGTGAAATGCCTCTAACAATTCATTTAGGTGAAACACCACTTTAAAAACTGAATAAATAAAATTAAATGTAATGAAATAAAATGTGATAGCAAACAGCATTGCCTCTTTTTATTTTAATTTAAACATATTAATAGCCACAAAAAATGTGGTTCATGCAACACGTACACACATTACAATAAAAAAATATATAATATCACTGCCTCTTTTAATTTTCATTTAAACAGAGGCTATTAATAGCCACATGTGGTTCATGCAAGGCGTAGCCTACACACATTACAATAACACAAAATATACCAAACATCACTGCCTCTTTTCGTTTTCTTTACTGTAGGCTATACTTAACAAAACAAAATAGGCTGCAACCCTCTTTTCGTTTTCATTTAAAAAAATTAAATAATAATAAAACATTAATATGTGGTTTAGGCAATATTTCCACATAATACTCTGATTATCTTTACTGTATGTATAATACAATTAAATATGACAAAGCACAACTTTGTTTTGTTTTGTTAAATGTCAGTTTTAATGAACAATATAAGACATTATGCAAGTATAAAGTATAAGATACTTATGTAATTGGAAATAAAGACAAAAGAAAACAATGACAGTTACTATGATTAAGATAAGTAAATATATAACATTATGAAACTTTGTGCTCTGCCAAAACGATATGACCTGGAACAAATAATAGATTAATGAGACCAAAGATTACCTGTTAGATGTACCCAAAATGAATTTTATCTCATGTTTAACCACAACAGAGGCATCAGAGCCTGAGAGACAGTGGCAAATGTCAGAAGGACTAGCTGAGGTAAGGCTGCTCTCGGCGGGATACATGAGCACGGAGTGCCCGCTGATTGCTTGGAGCTCACATCTCCGAAATCAGTGAAGCAAACTTTCAAATAGGCGCCATCTTTATAAATAAACCACAGATTTGAGTTTTAAACGACTACATTCTCGCCTGAAATACTCTTAAAACTACATTTCGTGACACAATAACAGTAATATTTTTTTAATTATGCAGGTTTTCTCCTCTGTCATTAACACTCGCTTGTTGGTGCAGAATGCATTCTGGGATATCTGGCTGCCTCAAGTTCACACAAGTCACCTTTTGATGCATCCTCGGTAAAAGGGGCGGAGCAAGAACACATCTGGGGATTTGAATTGTACTTGGCTAGATGTGAACTTTGAATTGGAGCAGTACTTGGGCAACGACTGATGACGTTTCACAAGTCCACAAGAACACAAGTACAGACAAGAACGCGTGTTGAGAACGACCCATCTCTCCCTCAGGCCTCGTATGACGGGGAAGGGAGTGGCCTTAAAATTAAAGATGAATGATGCAACATAACACCATCAGGGGTAGTTTTGTAGGGCTAGTCATACTTCAGTAAAACAGTTATATTGCTGAAATACAAAATACACGGAACAGTTTTGACAGTATATGGATTGTTTATTTAAAGGTGTTGTGCAGTCAGTTGTGATCAGTGCACATACAGTACAGCACACTGAGAGAGTAAACAGGCCAATTCAAGGACACCTTTTTCACTTTTTTTTCTTTTATTGCCATAAGAAGGTATCACAGTATACACCAATATAAACATATAACTCATTATATGCAATAATATAAAATGTGAGGTTTCAAAATGTGATGGTGCAATTTCATATTTTAAGAAAAGTATACATTTTTGATGTGACCTTCATATTACAAAAATGAACTGAAATCTGACGTTCTGTAGAAACACCTGTGTATAGACAGTAATTGTAAGCAGCAGGCTTTTTTCTTTGTTCACTCTACTGGATTCAATCATTTCCCAGTCACGAAAAGTTTTGTCAGGCCAGCTTTAAGATAACTCAGAGCATCTTTATTGGCTTCATCAGCTACAGCTTTCCTCCTCATCTCCTCCAGCTCTCGGACCCAGTTTTCTTTCCCAGTCTCCCTCACTCTGGGGATGAAGAAGTCGAGATGCTGAAGAGTGAAGGCAGAGTCTGGTTTTAATGCGATCTGAGACAGATGCTTGATGGTCTGGTAAGCTTCGGACAGAAGATTTGACTTTTGGTCCTCAATCTCCTTCAGATCTTTGTCAAGATGATCCATTATAATGGAATATATCTTGGACTGTTCTTGGGCTTTTTCATATTCTTTTTTTATAGAGTCAAACTCCATCATGACGTTCGAAATTCTGATGGCGTATTTCTTGTTTTC